CCCCCGGAAAATCAGCTAAATCATTTTCATCTAGAGAAATTCATCAAAACATGGAAGAAACAAAAAAATTATTTAATCAGGAATGTAACCCACTGTGTATACATGAAAGCATTTGCACCAGTGTATAAGTACCAACTACATGTATGTACATCTACAATTGAAATTACATTTTAAAGCTCCATTAAAACACTTGAGCCAGAGCATTTACTTTGGAGCAAATAGAGCCAAAGAAAGGAATCAAATCAAATAAACATAAAAGAATGTCTCAATATAGGACATTAAAATAAAGCAGTACACAGGATAAATAAAGACTGCTTTAGCCAAGCAGTTCTTTTATACTAATTTAAAATCTTTGCAGGCGTTAGCCATTTGCGTAGCTCAAGACAAAAAGAAGACAGATTCACTGATGAGTCACACAGTGTTAAAAAAAGACAACATCCTTAAGAAGTATGATGAAGTTCCTTTTAACAGAACTAACCAAAAGATCCATCTCGTGAAGAGCTTCTTTTAGACTGAAAAGCAGGAAAGATCTGAAGTTTTCTAGGTGCTCGCAGGTATTTCAATCTATCAATCTGAATGAAAGAGTCCAGCCATAGTATCCTTTTTTAAAATAAGGTCTTGGCAGTTTTCTCAGACAAAGATACAAAATGCAATCCTTTGCTACAGTCACAGACCAGGGATGCTTATTACCCAGTAGTTGGGAAGTATACAAATAGTCTGTCAAAATTACTTTGTCACAGAAAGAAAACACATCTCGTTCCACTCAATTATAAGCAGACTTCCATTCCTTGGCAATTAAAACCTTCACCTCATAATTCTAATAGGACAGACTTTCAAAACTCTCTTCTGAACAAAACAAAGTTGCCCTAAACAGAAAAAAGAAATTTATATGTATTTATTTATATATGAAAGGCAGCGTGGTGAAACCAGGCGCTAGTCAAAATAATGAAATCAAAGATATCAGCATTTTTCCTAGGGATTGGTAATTTTTATCGAATTTTTGTTTTTTGGCTCAACACCTTGTATGTCCATTTAAAAACAATGTGCTGTGTGGCCTTTACTAAAAAGACGTTGATTAAAGGCACAAACAATGTAAATTTACAGTTTTCAAGGACTTTCATTACTTTCAAACTTGGAAGTCACCAAACTTTGGCAGTCATTTTTTCTCTCATTTTAAGTCTGAAAACAGGTGATCCCCACCTCCTTCAATCTAAAATATCTCGACTTCTCTTAAAGATAGATGAATAATTTTTTCAGCGAAAGCATGACAAATGAACACGCTTTTAAAAAGATGATACCAAAAACTCCATAAACCCAAAAATTGACAAGCGCCTGATTCCACTGCTCCGTGACACATATGTGTAATAATAAAATACGCCATAAGGTAAACTAATTACACTGCCAAATGTTTCACTAAATAAATGATAAACATGCATATATTTCATTAAATTTCAACAAAGATTGGAATCGATAAAGTTTCTTCCAATCTAGAGTCATCTCAAGTTTGGTCCATAGATCTTGCACCACTCACCCAATTCACATGCAGCTTGAACTCCAAAGGGTGTATTTTTAAACAAAAAAAGGTTTCATCTTGAGCAACAAAATTTCGGCAAAAAGTGAGGTTACCAAAATTGAAGATAGAAATATGACAAGCTTACTATTCAACACACTGTAAAGAGAGAAATGTTCACACCCCATGGTGAATGATTCCATATTAAACAAAAAGATGAAAAGTTAAATGGGTCAAATAGTTTGAGTATATAAGCTTATAGCGGAAAGCGACCAACATATAGGGGCAAGAAAAGTAGAATCTCCAAGAGCTTTAAGAAAGCCAAAATATACCCTGTTCAAATCAGGGCGGATATCTCATATATTTCATGACCTATGTAAACACATCATCACTTTGTTTTTGTTTTAGCAGAGGTTTTACGGAGCTCGCAACTACATAAGGTCATATGAACGCCAAGGGGTGGATGTCAACAGAGACGTCCTTACAGGGAATCAGACTTACTCTGCTCACCTCTTTAGCTTCAAAAGAAAAAGAGGAAAAATGACAATAGTAAGGATTAGGAAAGAAAAAGCAGCAGTTCCCTGTTGCAGTTCAGGCACAGTTATGAACATGACATCGGTGAATCAGCCCATTTACAATTCTACTGTGCATAAGAACAGGTTAATGTCCCCCCTTTGGGAATAGCCTAGATTTAAAGACACTTCAGCCAGTAGCACTGCCACGGGGGGTACATCATCAGTTCGAAGGATGAAGTTACACACTGAGACTGTCTAACAAAAGGAGGTGGCTTTTATTCTTAATGGAAACCTTGCAGTCTCCCTTACTATCTCCCTTAGAACTACTCTGTCAATGTTATACGGGAGGGGATCAAAAAGACTAATCTCAACAAAATAAACCGTCAGGGAGCACACTTCACATCACAGGGCTGTCATGGCTTGCAAGCGATCAGTTCACTTTCTATACCTCCAGTCGTAACAAATTACAATAGCACTTATCATGCAATACAACACTTTAGCCCAACAAGAGAACACAACTATACTATTAATCATCAAACCAAAGAAAACATGCAATGAATGAGAATGGTTACCTCACTGACTGCCAGATGTTGAAATCCCAATTTAACCCCAGCTGCCGCATTTCAAGGGTGATTTAGAACATTCACTGTTAGATACCTATTCAAGGTACACACGTACAAATTTCAAGATATTTTTATGTCGTGTTTTATTGAGGTGAAAACAGATTTTCACCAGGTGTCGTACATTTGTTTGCATGATTATTTGAAAAACAGACACATTTTTTTTTTACCCTTATAAACATTATAAATAGGATCTAAGTTTTCTAAGTCACTTTTGTGACCATCTGGTATATGTCTTGTTCAATATAAGAACCCATAGAAACGAACAGATTTTTATTTTAGAGGCTGCATGAGGTGTAACTTTAGTCTAAAATCATGAAATGCTGTACCAGATCTAACAAATACCTATTGTAACTCACCTTACAAAAACCCCCCACAAAAAGCTACACTAAAGGATCAGGAGACGCAACTACCAAATTAAATAGGCAATACATCTTCCCTTTCCGAAACCGCCAAGACCGATAGCAGGTTGCTTAATAGTGTAAAAACAGTGGAGAAATCGAAACCGAAAGGGGTTGTTCAGCATTTTTCGTATGTCCAGGCCTACCCATGCTGTGTCAGTATTGGCAGTCGGTGATTAAGGGCACATCACTGCTAGTCCCATTAACATGCTGAACACCTTAGTAGAGATCTCAAGTCCAGGCCGAAGCACTGGAAATCTTACTTTATGTGTTAACTGTGGTACAGAATGTTCACACATGACATATGACAGAAAACCGCTTTAGTCAGAGAAGAGTCATTTCACAAAACTTCATTTGGCTGGTGAAGCACTTAGCGGTAGGTAGAGCATTACAGACAATATAACTCCTTATCCTCCAAAATTCATAAATTTTCGGAGCAACACCTTCAGTCGATGAGTCTGTTTGAGAAATAACTTACTACACATAAACTAATGTACTCTGAGTTAATGCTATAAAGTGAGTTTCTCGCTGATATGCCTAAGGAAAAATATTAGACAGCTACAAACCAACTGAAAGACATGCAACCAGAATGTTTAGCACTCCAGTCAACAGGACGACCTTTGAAGACAAAGTAAACAATATAGCACCTCAAAATTAAAAGTTCAACAAAAATATTGTACACTTAGATCAAATATTCAAATATATTAAAAACCACCACCACTGGCCGGTAAAGGTAACAAAAAATCCCCACAAAAATTATACTATGCCTTGTGATATGAACAGGACATAAACCTACGAAAGAAAACAATAGTACTTTTGACTTCTATGTGTAAGAAGAAATGCTATAAAATACTGTGTGGCTGAGAGCTTCTCTTTGAACTAATGAAAAATAAAGCAATATCACCTCCAGGACGGCTGATACCGGAGACGGAGTATTAGGTGAAAAGAACATTTTTGCCTCTTATGTTCAATTAGGTACAAAAGCTGCAGAGAAGGTAAATATAGCTTCTTTATCAAACCATCAGTCAGAAATAACACAACAATCTCCACTTACTATTCTATACAGAAGGGTATTTTTTAAATATAAAAGGCTGCCCCATCTCCTGGGGTGGTAGCAAACAAAGCCTCCTTGACTCTTTCCATCTTCTTGGGTTCCAACTTGTAGTAGTTGTCTTTCACCTGTGCAAGCATTGGCTTGACGGCATCACATCTGACGAGTGACACGGCACAGCCACCCCAGCCAGCGCCTGTCATACGCGACCCCACAGCACCAGCCTGCCTGTAGACACAGAACATCATCCATGTCAACCAGAGATCAAGACACTGAGACAGGAAGGAGGAAAAGGGGTCATTTTTCTTTTTCAAAAATTTAGTAACAAGTTTTACGGCACTAGCAACATAATAAGGTAAGAGAGCAACAAACACACAAAAGGAGAAGGAGACAAAAGGACGATAGATGTTCGATAGGAAAGAAGGCGCAAACCACACCAGAGCACCCTCCAACCACACACAAAAGGGGCCATTCCCTACAATGATATACAAATGCCTATAAGAGACATACCACCTAAACAAGTATCAGCTTTAGGAGCTGGGAACAGGAGGCAGACAAATGCAGCCGATAGAAGAATAGGTCAAGACCAGCCTTACAATAAGACTGAAAGAGGTAGCAGCAAATTTATACAACACCTGAGGAGATATAAAATAGTTTAAAAGAGCACAAATCGGTGGTACAAGAAAGCGCCTCGCCTCTTCACACTGCTAATTTTTTATAAAGTATACAGACACAGCAACAATTAAAGGCTGTGAAAGAGGACAGATGGACAGGAACAGTAGAAACAAAACAGACAGAACCTACCATTTTTCATTTCATTCCACACCAATAAAACATGGTAATAATTCTCTGAAAAGCTACAAACAGCAGGCCTGTTTAAAAAAAATACAAATCTGTGCATCTTAGTTAATCTAATGCTGAAGAAAAGCACTTCTAGTATCTTCATTTAGACCTCACTACAGGCACTTAATCACAATTGTGTTATACATTTCTCCCATGCAAACCAAAGTGACAGGAAGATGTCCTTATATAAATTCAAATAATTATTAACTCTTTCAAAAACGTAGTTTTTTGGGGTCTAGACATAGTTAACTTGTGGCTCAATTTGGCTATGCAGGTGGTGAACAAAATAACTTTATAGAAGCATAACCATCACTCAAAACGTAACATATGATATATCAAATTGAAGGAAATTGAATGAGGAGTACATCCCAATATGAAACAAGGATTAATTTTGAACATAGGTATGCATAACAAGGGTTAAAAATAGTGATGGTGGTGAGAAAAATAAATTTTGATGGAAAAAATTACATTCACCAATCATGTGAAAGCAAATCAGCATAGCTATCTTATCATATATAGGCCAAGAGCATAATCTATAAATTTTTTAATGCGCAGCTTTTTATTTGAAAGCAGTATTCCAATTTTTGTTTGAGTTATGGTATTTATACTGAGTCTGGTTACATCGTTTTGTTGATGCAAGAACGTAAGAACTAATTCACTTGTTTTTCCCCAAACCCACGCTTAGACAAATTGAAACTAGATGTTTTCGTTTCTTAAATCCTTTCAGAGTTTTTCAATAGCAATAAAAAGTAATTATAAATAACGGCTCAAGTTAGAAGGAAACAATACTGAGGCACCCTATTGCAGCCGATATATCGGCGATACATCCGCAAGGGGTTTTGTTTTTTGTTTTTGTAAAGTGTTTTACGGCGCTCGCAACTGCATAAGGTCATATGAGCACGCGGGACACACCTAATATTTTCAGTTGGTAGTAGATTTTGAATTTTGCCCGGGTGGCGACCGAAGCCTACTCTTATCGATTTTAGACCACCAAGGGATCTTTAACGTGCGCAACTTGCACACGGGTCCTCCGAGATTTTTCGCCCTTGTCCGAGAAGGCTAGGTGTAGATCTTTCCTACCAGAAGATCAGGGGTGTGGCTGAAAGACTGCAGTAAGAAGAAGTGAAGGAGTAGCAGTAGAAAGGCTGTAGAAAGAATCAGGAGCCCAAAGGAAGGGGCAAAGGAGGTGAGGGGGGGGTGGGCAGAAAGAGGGGACGAAAGCAGACGACAGAACATTAGAGAGCAGGAAATGAGGTGAAAGGAGACAAATTTAGAGCAGAAAATTTTTCGGTCGCTACCCGGATTCTAACCCGGGACCTTTTGAGTGAGAGGCCAACACCTTAACCTCTAAGCCACGAGAGCCCCCGCAAGGGGTATAGACGTGCGCCGATATATTGGCGATACGTCCGGAAAGAGTTAAAATGTCAAAGTTCCACTGATAAATTGTTTACACTACTCTCACCTGCAAACATCCACAACTTTGTCTAGCTCGGGGTGACTGCACTCATACATGTCACGACAACTGGCGTGACTCTCGTTCATCAGCTGACCCAGCTGCTCCAGTGCATCCTCAGGCTGCTCATCGCAAACAACCTTAAAGCGCAACACACGCTTCGCCTCACTGTACACGTGAGTGGCACGCTGGTAAAGACGGAAACTTTCAACTGCGAGAAAAATGGTAAAGGAAAAAACAATTATAGCTATGGCACAGAGAGAAGGCTGTCAAGCTATCACATGACCACAATAGAGTAAGGCAACATTCCTATAACTTCATTGAAAAATTATATTATGAGTTACTAAGCCCAATGTGAAATGCACATATCTGCAAATGCCTACAGCAAAAATTAATATGCTGTGCTGTCAGACCCTGCTGTATACTTTTATTCAAATTGTTAATCAAAGTTCATTACTCTCCATAACTTTCATTGACGGCAGTACAATATTACTGGAATGCTGAAGGAATCTTAGAATTTAAAAAGACCCAAATATTTCCATCTGTTCCTTCATATTGATATAATACATATACTTAAAGCAAAAAAAAAAGTCAAAGTGATCTCTATTTTACAAAATTTTAATAGTACCAAGGGGTACACTCCTTCAAGTAAACATTTTCAACTACTAGTAAACAATATGTGTAACGACATGGTGGAATAAGGCGCTCGTCATTTTTCGGGCATATGGGGATATTGGCATCACTTTAAAGCTTGTTCATTTGTCTTGTTTTCGATGAAAAAATAACCCATCTATTTTCAATAGAAGTGGAGATATTTTAGACTGAAAGAGGTGGGAGTCACCTGATTTCGGATGTAAAATAAGCGAACAAATGGCTACCACAGTTTTGCGACTTCCACAGCTGCAGATTCCATGGAAACTGTAAATTTACAGTTTTAGTGCCTTTAACCCTATCAGTACCTCGTGTTTTACTATCCTATCCATACGACGTGGGGACCTCTGTGCCAACACTTTCCGAAATTTACTCGTTAAACCGATCCGTACGCTTTGCTTAGCAGTCTGTCAAAATGATTTGTGGAGAAATACTGAAAGTATCAAAGAGATCTTCGCACTAGAAGTATTCTAAAATGTAAAGAATACAATCCTAGGGGTACAAAATGACCCCAGATAGGGTTAATCAACGTATTTCGGTAAAATCCACAAAGGAATTTGTTTTTAAATTGACATAAAATGTGTTGAGCCAAAAAACAAAATTTCAATAAAAAAATTGCCAAGAAGGAAGAAAAATGCAGCTTCCTTCAATTTCATTATTTTGACGAGCGCCTGGTTTCCCCTCGATACCTCATATATTATACCTACCGTGCAGCGTGTTTGAACTAAGGCTGGTCTCTGCTAGCTCCTCTGGTGTTGTCCCCAAGATGCTGCAGACTTCCTCCTTGCTGTAGGGTTCTGTGTGTAACTTGGTGGCCACAAGGGACAGCATGTCCTCCAGACTGAGCCCCAGTTTCTCCTGTAGCTCGCCCAGACGTTTTATTTCCCTCCACTTCACAGAACCCTGGGATTGGGCCAGTACCTGAGGGAAAGGTATGTGTGTGTGTGTGTGTGGGGTTGGGGGGGGGGGAGAGACATTGGAAACAGGCTTGAGTTTTGCATGGAAAAAGAAGAACTGTACACAACATCCACAAAGCATAAAATGCTCTTGTTACATCATCTGCGCTGGAAGACTATCGAAGAGTCACCATAATTCTCAAATAACTAGACCCTGGTTCCCTGGGGATCATATTTTATGCACACCGATAAGTGGATATATCGGCACCCTCACTTTCCGACAGGTCTCAGATCAGCTCGAGCCTACTTAGCTGATGCGCGCTGTATCAGCGAGTCCTGTATTTTGCCGCCAAAGTGTGTATGCATCAGTCTGCTTGTGTTTGTGTCCGTTTGTGGCTTACTTCTAGAATTGCCAGTGTTTGTTAGAAACTGAGGTGTACATCTCATCCGAAACACATAATGTTGGTAGCTCTACATGTTCCTCCAATGAAAAGTGAACAAATAGACTCACTTAGACATGTGGAACTCAGAAGGATAACGAGAAAACAAGACTTCTAGGGGTATTTTAAAAACCTTTCAATGAGCTTTACTCAAAATGTGAGATATCGTGGTGAATCAGCTGCTCGTTAAAATAATGAAATCAAAGAAAACTGCATTTTTCTTCTCATTTGGCAATTTTTATCAACTTTGTATGTTTTGGCTCAACACCTTTATGTCCATTTAAAAACGCATAGGTGTAAGACTTTTACTGAAAAACTTTGATTTAAGGCCAAAAAAATGTAAATTTACAGTTTCTAAGGATTCTCAAACTTTGAAAGTCACCAAACTTTGGTGACCATGTTCCCTCTAATTTTAACTCTGAAACCAGGGGACCCCCACCTCGTTCAATCCAAAATATCTCGACTTTTATTGACGAAAGATGGGTAATTTTTTCATTGAAATCAAGACAAATGAACAAGCTCTAAGATGATAACAATGACACCATATGCCCCAAAACTGATGAGTGCCTGATTCCTCTGTGTCGTGACACAAATGTTATTTCCTGATAAAAATAATTCTACTTGATGGTTTTGAAAACCACTGTGCAGCTAGAGTTAGAAAGAAAAATTTGAGAACAAAACATTCAGAAATTGACCTGTATTTTTTCCTTTGAAACCCTAGATTGTAACAACAATTGCATCTAGAAGGGTTATTCGAATGAGCGTAACTACTCGTAATGACTTATTAACTTAAGAAAGGGGGTTTTCCATCTATTCGTAATATTTGTTCATAGAAAGCTTGTATGTGCTGAAAAAGATAGGACATTATTTTCCTTATCAATTAACAAACCCCCCCACCGATGGTATTAACAGCAAAAACACAAGTTTCTATGGCCTCCTGCCGTACACTCTCTGACCCCTGAGTGACCCCGGCACCTCGCAGGGAACGCTGGCCGTAAGAAGTTGGCCTTATCAGTGAATTAGATTCGCATCTCTGTAAGCTCGCAGAAAAAGAGTTAACAATTCAGTCTATGAGCTGCTTACAGTACTTCGCTTCACCATACCAAAGCCAGACAAGTTTATCCCACCAAAGCCATCTGTATAACCAAACAGTCACTTCAATAATAATTCCAGTTTAACATTGAGCACATTTTTCATTAAAACTTTTTGAAATATAGTCAAAAACTGTCTAGGACAGCCATTCATTGTCAAGGAGAACAGTAGCCATCTTAGACAGGTGGCCGTCACATACAGTGACATTATAAAGTAAAAACTACATAAGGGAGGAAATGGGAAATGGCCATTTATACAGGAGATTGTTTTATACAGGTGGCTGTTTGTACAGGTTCTAATGTTTATAGAACCAGAAGGACAGGCTAAAGAAGCGAGGCAAGAGAGAACTGATATCACCAAGCGCTACCTGAGCAGCCAGCCGGCACTCTACAACTCTTATATTAAAGTGGGGTGTGGCAGCTTTGTTCATCTCCGCCAGACTGTTGCTCACAACAAATGATGCATTGCCAGGAAGTTGGACGTCTGTTGTTCTCAGAGGATTGAATTCAATGAGCTTCGCCTGAAACATAAAACAGTGAAGACATAAGTATACTATTTGTAAAAGTAAGGCCTAATGCAGTTATATCATTGACTCTGCATGAGAAAGAAGAAAAAGAAAGAAGAAAAACTCCTTGTGCAGAATGCATAAGCATGTTTATATTTGATTCATCCCATACAAAAACTACAACACTCACTCAAGATTACATTTATAATTCTAATACTCTCACAAGAGATGAAACAGTGGGATATATTCATCATACTGTCGCTCAGTCACAAGCAAGGTTTACGATTAAATATAAACATTTGACCCACAGCAGACTAGGATCATGGTCTAATTTTCAAGAGGGAAGTACATAGATGCATTAGCAGTGAAAGAGAATGGCAGCTCAGTTGATAAACAGCAAAACACATGACAATCTAATTTCAAATTTGAAATTGACACCCAATTTTTTCACAATAAATAAAAAAGTAGAAGCATTTGAGTTAACCTGCTGAAAATCCACCTAGACAAATTGATAGTGTGCATCCATGGCCCATACTAGACAGTCATCTACAGTGTGAATCCGTGCATTGATAAAGTAAATGCATTGCTATATATGAAACATTATCTGCAGGGTCTGAGGCGTTTACGACTATGAGTGAACATCAAATTAGAGAAAATCAAGGCTACAGATTTTTTCCAATAAGGCTGTAGAGCAAAAAGGAGATAGAAGGTACACAGTAAGTTCTCAGAATAACATGGAAGACACACATCACAAGCAGGATAAGTGTTAAACAGATATCTCAAAAAAGAAATCTGGGAGCAAGGATAGACTTTGTCTTGACAGATGACATTGGCAATCCAATCACAACTCTGTACACGAAACGAAAAAAACACTTAGTATCTGTCACAGAGCTAAAAAATAGCAGCTACGGCACAATCAGAGCCTCACCTTGCCCAACCGAGCAGTGATACTAATTGCCTGGTCCATGCCACCACCCTCTGTACCGATGTAATGCTCACACTTGGCGCACGTCTCTGCGATTTGCTCCTGCCATAGAAAAAGAGAACTTCTAATGTTACCAAGATCTGCAGGCAGTTTTAATAACCAATATTACAACTTGGCAAAATACCAACTGCCAAGGACACTTGGATAATAAACCCCCTATGAGGTATTACCTGAATCCAGCAATGATTTACAATAATATATGGAGGTTCACCACAACACAAATTATTGAAAACACAGCCCATAAACAAGAATATTAACTCTCAAACAAGAAATAAACAGTTTGAAACATCCACGCTGTCAAGAATTCTGGAAATAATAGAAAAAGGAGATCCATACCTTCGACATAGGCCATTGATTGGCCCTCAGCATGGCCAGAGCAGAGCAGCACACCAGAGCGCTAGAGCTAGATAGCCCAGCACTCTTTGGCACAGTTCCATCAACCATGGCCTTGAAACCCTGCGTGACAAGGCTGCAGAACTGCTCTTTGATCCCCAGCACACCACACAGCACATACTTGTACCAGTGGGGCACATCCTTGGTGATATGTATATTCATCACGTTACCTTCATATTCCCTAGAGACGAGAAAAAATAATTCTTGTTCAAGTTCAAAAATCAAAAGTAAAGGTTACATCAAGTCTCAATAATATTATATTTTTTGCTTTGCACACATTAAATTTACATATAAAACAATCCAAAATCTTTTCTTTCATTGTTCCAACATGCTTGAATGTTCACAACACCTTCCTCCTCCAGCCCCCATTATGAACACACACTTATAAAGAACCCACTTATAAAGAACCCAAAGCCACTACAACATGACATCATGAATGACACAAGACCACTGCCTGCTGAACTTCTCACAGAAAATGTTGCTCAATAGTCTTGTACCCCCTCAGATAGATAACACACACAGATCACAAAGAGTTAATGAGACACACTCAGCTTGCCACTTTCTGGCTCAGTCTTCTCCCATCCTGTGTGGAAATTCAACTTAACAGTGCCATTAACCAAGAACCCAGCTACACTTCGATGAACAGAATAAATCTTTTTTAAAAGTCACAACCCAAATGACACAAGGTTATACCTTTTACAGCTAGAGTCACTGAACAATAACAACCCTCCAAAAGATGTGCTGTAGGAACAAATTTTGTACATAAAGTACTTCATTCTGTACTTAAAGTAAGTAGGAAGTACAAGTACTGTTAACACCAATTGAGTTGAACTCACTTGAACTGATCTTCGGTTAAGTTTATTTTTTTCTCAGGTCCCAGCACCTTTTCTTCTTTTACATTTGTTAAAGTCAAACAGTTACGTTGAATTCAACACAAACTTCAAACGTAACACTTGCTTTTTTACCCCTGGCAGCAAGAATGTAACAGTTGTACTGATTTTTTAATCTTTTGTGCATATGGTGTATCATCAGATGTTTCACAACAGTTTTGATAGTAGTAATATTTTACATAGAAATACAATCAGCCTTAGGGAGAGCAGATCAACGCGCATTGATAGGCCTACATAGTACCTAAATGAAATGGTGAGGAGAGCGCAACAGTGGGTGCATGTCACAATACAATAAGCACATTCGTTGTTAACGTTGCTTCCCCTCCCCTCAAGGTTGAAGAGTATGGTGCACCGCAAGATGGTGAGCAATACAGTAAAACCTCGGTACATCCGATACGGACATTGGGGATTGCCTCGTTGATAAGACAACTTCCTGGGCTTTCGGCATACTGAGGTAGGGTGGCCAGTTAACTTATAACTTATGTTATATGTTAACTTATATAACATATTCGGCTAAAAACGTAGTCTCGACTGTAACTTAGGGTAAGTGTAACGTTCATTTTCTGAACCCTGGATTCCTTGTTAGAATTTTTACTTTTTAAAAGAAAAGTCTAAAACTTACCAGTGTAAAAACATTATTTTCGCTAATAAATTCAAGAAATTTTAGTGATCTAAAGTACAGAGTACACTTTGAGAATACAGGACACGGCAAGAAGCGAAAGTTTAAGTCAGAACAGTGTAAACAGTTCCAGTGAGGGGCGAGTTTTTGGCAGATGTACTGGTACATTATTTTGAGGCCAGTGAATGCTTAGAACCACTCCCCCATCTCACCCCACTCTCTTTCTCTCTCTCTTTCTTTCTCTCACAGAGTCTTACACACACACACACAAGCACGTGGTTAATAATCAAGTAAATAAATATTGTTCGATAACCTTTCCTATTGCCGCGATTTTTTTGCCAAAGCATTAATATTAACTCTCTGAACCCCATTGGACGCTCGGCGGTAATAACCCTGTTCCCTATCAGATGCTGGAAGCGTCCAGTACTAGTGACAACTGTTTCTTTTTATTAAATGCTGGTTTTTGTTTGTTTTTCGAAACTACAGTAGTCTCCGCTTAAGATCCCACCGCTTACGATCCCTGTTCGCTTAAGATCCCGTTGTTTTAGGATAACAGAATTCTTACTATACAAAAGTCACCCCTAAGATCTCGCTCTGATGGTCTACATTCGGCTAAGATCCTGCATTTCAGATCATAATTTGTGAAACAAAAACCCGGGCGGGCACAGCCGATCAACCAAGAGTGAAAAGTTGAGATCAATAAACTGTCCGTTGCGTCAAAGATCAGCCACTATTGTAAATGTGATCACACACACGTTGTAAAACTCGAAGCGATACAATGTTTGCCCCAGATGGGACCACACCGGGGTGTGAACTGACCGACGCGTTTGCTTTCCCCACGCATCGCACTCACACCTGAGCTCTCCCCCTAAATTTGCATCATTCGCTGGGTGGGTAGGGCCTACACGTTCGCTACAGGCGGGATATCACATCAAACCGTGAACTCCTCCCTGACCATTGCAGCAGTTGTCTCTACTCCCGAATTTGCAAGACAGACTGAATATTAATTGGTGTGTTCACAACGCAATGGTGTGTAACGACAAAGGCGGTTGGGGGGGGGGGGGGGACTCGGTCAGAGATGGAAATCTATAAATTTTCGACAGGTAAAGGGGACGGGCAACTGGATAAGCGTAGATCTTGAGACTCATGATAGGATAATAAGTGAAAATGGCACGCCTCATGCCATTATGCACCGTGATAGGTCATCAAGGTTAACCGCTCTTTGCTCGCCATATGCCATAAACCCACCAAGGGGGCACGTCAGTTCATTGTAGAGTGGAGGGAGACCATTTTACCGATTGTGAGCCTTAACATGGGTCACCATAGATTCTTCCCTGGGTTCGTTTGTTAAGATCCCGGTTCGCCTAAGATCCCGCATTTCCTTGCTCCTGAGCACCGGGATCTTAGGCGGAGACTACTGTATTCCCGAACCAAGTTTTTTAATAATGAATAAGCCTTTGTTTCTGCTATTAAGAAGTTGGAGGCAAGCTTTTGGGGTTATGATGAGACATAGTGCACTAGGTTTAGATGACTGTTGAAAAAACTGCGGGAAACGGTGGAAAAAACTGAATCAGGGGTTAAAGAGTTAAAATAAGCAGGGGAAAAGATTTTCTGGTTGTGACAGTTAAGTTGAGCTTTGGATGAGTTGTTCATTTTTTCACTCTCCCAAAGACATCAACTGATCCATAGTATATTCGACAGTACTGTTTCTTTCACTTTCCCTTCTTCCCATTCCTCTGGAAACATACACATCATTCCAGGAGACCTCTGATCACACATTCTATGTAACGGCACAGTGGTTTTTAATAAAAGTTAATTTATCATAACAAACCAATCAGATTCTGATACTTGAAAAGCAAAAAATAAAATTAAAGACTTCAAACCTCAAACTGTCAAAAACTAGCTTACTCAAATGTGCCATCAGTATTGACTAGGGTCAGCTTGCCACTGCTGTCTGGCTTCACTGCCATCACAATATCTTGTTCCACAGCCATGGGCAGAACAGAGTAGCCACAGTAGTCAATGTGTTCTCCTACAAGAGGAAAACAGGACGGATATTACACATCCTGTATCACACTGGCTAAAATATTTTATTGGTTTATAACACAAACAGCTTTGGCCTCTACAAATGAGAAATAATGAACAGATATCAGACTCAGCCAAACCGAATACCCAAATCACTGTTGTACGTTAAACTAAGAAAAATATGCACTCAAAACTTGTTTTGAAAAAACTCTGTATCATCCTGAGCATGGCCATGGCAATAGAAATATTTACACATGTGACATTAATATCAAGTACTCTGTATAGAAATACCAATGAGAGAGAGATGACGATTTGCCCTTAATAACAAGAAAATTAAGCAATTGAATTGTATATGCAAAAACTAACAGAAAATGTTAGTCATGGGACAGACATCCACAACAAAAGCTTGAAGCTTCACTTTTTAAAAAAACATGAAAAATTGTATTCGTGTTCAGATTTCCACAAAAAAAACACCCTAAACCACATTTAAATAACTGATTAATTTTTAAACTTCACTTTGGAGAAAAACTTATTGTATACTTAAGATTTTGTATTTATCCTTCTATTAAAGCGCCTTGGTCTTACCTATGAGATTGACTCTTCCAGGAGCTCTAGCAAAAAAGGCAGGATCTTCTCCAAACTTTTCAACAAATTTCTTTTTGATTTCATCATATCTGAAAAAATATCAAGGACATTAGCTCAAGAACGAAACAATACTGTTTTTTAAATTCATCACACTACTAACTTCTCAAAAGCATACTTCAGCGAAATAAGATAGAGTGGAGTCCGCTTAAACCAAAATATATGGGACCACCAGATTTTCTTCGGTTTAGCCATATTTTCAGCTTAGAGAGGTTGTTCAAATAGAAGAAAAAAGATCAGGGATTTTGTCTTTTTTCAGTTTACCACTGTTCTCAGATTTACTGTGTTCAGTCTAAAAGGACTATGAAATACTTTGTTTTCTTTAACTCAACACTTCCTTACATCCTACACTTATTCCTAAAAGCATTTTAACCAATGAAGTGTGAACATGCTCTTGATTATAAAATGTGTGATAAAAAAAAATTGGAGTCGGTAAGATAATTGGGAGTTTTGTGCTTATACAAACACTTCAGCGAACATGGACATTTTTTTTCTGATTATTAACACTTTGCTGTCACACAGCCAGCAGTACAAAATACTCCATCTGGTCACCCAGCCAAGAGAGTGACTTCTCGGGCCTGATGCATAACTACACCAGGTGACCAGAACGGATAACTTTCACCATCGCATTATTGCACCAAGTGACAGCAAAGTGTTAAAAATGATAGCAAACATTTTCCACACCCACACATAAACACCACCTCCTAAACATACCTCTCCTTCTTCATCTCAGGGACAGGTAGGACTGGTGGACCTTCAGCCATTTTGCACAGGCACCTGAAACGTAAAAAGGCACCAAACCTTGTATTTATATGGCTCTGCTTAAAGGCAGCTGAGGCACTACTATCTATATAGTTAGTCTTTGTTGTATTATCATCTCATTGTATTGCATATGGCACGTAAAAAATATATATAGTATTATTAGCATTAAATAAAATAGTTCTAATAGAAACTGAAAAAGTTGACACTTCAAATTGACTGCTCAGTTTAAGACTCTTTTCTTTTTTGTAAGTGTTTTACGGCGCTCACAACTGTATACGGTCATATGAGCGGGCGAGACACACCTAATATTTTCAGTTGGTTGGAAATTTTGAATTTTGACGGGGGGGGGGGGGCCGAATCCTACTCTTAATTTTAGACCACCAAGGGATCTTTAACGTGTGCAACTTGCACACGGGACCTCCGAGATTTTTTGCCATTGTCCAAGAAGGCCTTTCCTACCAGAAGATCAGGGGCATGGCAGAAAGATAGCAGTAAGAAGGAGCCAAGGAGTAGCAGTAGAAAGGCTGCAGAAAGAGTCAGGAGCCCAGAGGAGGGGGCAAAGGAGGTGAGGGGGTGGGAGCAGAAAGAGGAGACAAAAGCAGACGACAGAACATGACTAGAGAGCAGGAAAGGATGTGAAAGGAGACAATTTTAGAGAAGAAATTTTTTCCATCGTTTCCCGGATTTGAACCCAGGACCTTTGAATGAGAGGCCAACACCTTAACTTCAAGGCCATGACAGCCCCTTTTAAGACTCTGACACACATCACGTTTCAAACTGGCATTAGGTGGAGTCTTCCACCAAGCAATCTAAACCTGCTTTGTAGACTCTGAAGTGTTGTAGATAAGATTATTAAAGCTGCCCACTTTTCTGTCTAATAAACTTATTCAAACATTAAAAGATTGAACATCATACACTACTGTTACTTTTAAAAAAATGATTGTTAAGTAACCCATGTTTCTGCTATCCAAGTACTTTCCTTCATCTTCAACACTGCCCTTCAAATGTGAGTGAGAGTGTGTGTGTGTGTGTGTGTGTGTGTGTGTGTGTGTGTGTGTGTGTGTGTGTGTGCATGCGTGTGTGCGGGTGTGTGTGTGTTCACGTGAGCATGCAAGTGTGCACATGAGCTAAAATTTTCATGATAAGCAAACCACTCACCAAGCCTTTCGCTATAACAAGCCTGCACAACAAATGACAATACTGAACATACCTCTTACATCTAAGAAGCCAATAACCCAAGCAACAGTGGTAACAGTACATTAGTCTCAAGTCCACATTAATATAAGTAATGGTCTGCAATTTCCTCTCCATCCCAGTTTCTATTAAAACAAGGATCTACAGCAACAGATGGTCAGAGTCTGGGATCAATACTTGTCACGGGGAGTCAGAAGCTCACTCCCAGAAAAAGAGACCAGCTTATTTTATATTATAAATAGATTCAAAGACTATGGTTATGATAAGAAACTAGGGAAATAGGTTACTATGTTCCCTTTCACCATCAAAACATAATAATTGGTAAAATCAATATTGAACAAAAACAAAAATCTGACTCATAATTTTGAGAATGGTGTATAAATAAAAGCACACCTTGTACTTGCAAAGTGGACTATAGCCTAAATACTGTCAGATAATGTACAATATGCTCAAGCAAATGACATTGTGATAAACTAGAACAAAAATGTTCTTCTTATATATGGAAATATCGGGTGAAACTGGTAAATCAGAAATATAACAGCATTATTAAAGGGTAGCCTATGTATAGTCAATGAATATAAACTTTATTTATTTTATTAATTAAGATAGATGCTTTAAAACTTTTTTTTATATGACAGTTGACTGTAAATGGTGTATTAAATTTTGGAGTAGATTGTACAAAGAAACATTGACTAAAGGCACAAAAAATATTAATTTTTAGTTTCTAAGGCTCTCAAATTATTGAAGCTACCAAATTTTGGAGGCCATAATTTGTCTCGCTAATTTTACTTTTGAAACCAGCTAGGCCAGGGCACCACACTTCCTTCAATCACAAATTCTCAACACCTCGCTAACCTGTAGAGATAAACGGGTATTTTTTTCAATGACAGATAGACAGATGAAGCTTTAAGATGATACCATGCCACATGCCCGAAAATTAAGGCAGGCGCTATTTGAAACGCTGCATTCTGATTAGCTCCATATATTTATGCTATTTGAAACGCTGCATTCTGAACAGATCCAATGCTATTTGAAACGTAGCATTACAAGTAGGCTTACTAGCAGCCATCGTTTCTACATAATAATTTGTAGTTAGTTATGCCTGAATTGTGGAAGCTTTCTCAGTTTCTTGATAAACTTCCTAGGATTCGACTCCTTTTTGTTATTCCGTTGTCTTATTCTGATCAATATTGGGTAGATCTAGATCTAGATCTAACAATTGTTTCTGACATTGTTTGCGCAAACGTAGTCTTGTTCATTTCTCATAATCATAATCATTTGAGTTTGAGCAAGCAAGTCAAAATTAGACGCTTGGATAACAATGACAAGACGGTGCAACTCGGTAAGCACTTAATATCCTGTCTGCAGTATTGTCATATTAGTAGGCTAGAAACAATCTATACAATAGTCTACCTAAAAATATTATCTCTGTGTGCACTTTACATTTTGCCATCACACATGACGTCACCTGATCTAGGCTTCGCATTTTAATGAGCAGGTGGTATAGTGTCTATGTTCTCTGTCTAACGTTAGGCCTGGAAAAAGCTGTCTATGTTCTCTAATGCTCAGACTTCCAAGCGTGGCATCGAATCCCGGTCCCGGAAGTTTTTTATCTCTTCTCCTGAGCCTAAAATTAAAAAAAAAAAAAAAATTAGACTCACAGACCAAGGAAACCCACTAATAAAATTTAACCAGGCCTAGATCTAATTATTAGTAAAAAGAAAAGTGTACTTTGCAATAAAAGCTCCTCTTGGGGACAAAACCAAAATAAAATGTGATATCATCACAACATAAAAAACTACAAAGCAACAAGTTATATAATTATAATGGAAAAAAATTGTTGTTCAGTCGGGAAGAGGAGAAGAAGAGAAAAAAACAAACAATGATGGTTTGACTTCATGCGCAGATGCACTGTCCAGAACTCCCAACAATTACAAAAAAGGTAGATATCTATATAAGCTTTATATTTAACACACGGTGACACTGCGTTTTATTTAGCACTGGTGTTAATCACAACGCGGCGCTGCAAATAGGCACTTCGAAAAATTAATAAGCGCCTGATTCAACCTCCCTGTTGTACATCCTACTTCTGAGGGGCATTATAATAATTATTAGGAAGCCTATATATATTAAACTACACTGACTCCAGACTGCGGTTAAGTCTGGGCATGTTCTTGTAGGGTCCACCGTGATAGTCGCTCTAACACTTAACTTATTAACTTAAACTTTTACAGGCATAGATATCTAGATTCTAGATCTATTTCCTCTTTCTAACATCAGATTTGGAGAATCCAGATAAGGTAATAGAAGATCTAGAGAATTTGGAGAATTCGGATAATAGAAGATCTAGAGATCTAATCGTTGTTTTAAGGTTTGCGAAAGTCAAAACTTCCCAAAGTGATTGGAAAGTACTGTCATGTGTGTGTGTGTGTGTGGGG